GCTGCTCCTCCGTGTCCTTCCTGCAGCAAAGGAGAAACTCACTTCCTGATGGATTTGGCGCCCGATATACAATTATATTGTCCTTTTTTTGATGTAAAGTGATCCAAATTTAAAGCTGATCAGCTAACGTGACGCAATGTTGCTACTGAGCTTTTCTGTATAAACTTTTTTACCGAAGGTTAAATCTTATTTAGATTTTAAATCTAAATTTTTGCTGTAAATGATGTTGTTAATGTAAGAAACAATATGAAACTCAATAACAAGAATGTTGATAAGAATCGGGTTAGAAACAATTGAATGTTATCAAAGAATATGCTATTTTTTTAAATCATGAGGATTCAGTAGTAACTCAAACCAGCAAAAACACAATAAAATCACCATTAATTCCAGATGACAGCAGAAAGAAAACTTAAATATGGCAAAATAATTACAATAATAAAGTAAGAGGAATGAAAAATATTACTAAAATTATCCATGTAGCTAGAGATTGCCACATATGTTGTAAAACAAATAAATTTTATCCAAAATCTAATCAAAAGCTAAATATACACTAACAATTTAGTTAGGAAGGTGACTAAATGTGTAAACGCAACTGAGTTGAACACATGTGGTAGTGGTGACTTAGTGGTTAAGGACGCGGACTTGGGTCTGGATGGCTTTAGGTTTGAGTCCACCAGCTGCCAAGTTACCACTGAGATACACCGTCCCCACTCACTGCTCCCCGGGCGCTGAACGCTGCCCACTGCTCACTCTGGTGATGGGTTAAAAGCAGAGGTCACATTTGGTTGTGTGCAGTGGTGTGCTGTGTCACAATGACAAGTAGTTCACTTTTTCGTTTGTTTTTTTTTTTGGTTACTAAGAGTTATGCTAGCAACGACCAACATAAATATCTTAAGCCTGAATTTCAGCTAGGAAAGCTAAAAGCTAAAAGCTAAATTTTCTGCCAAAATATTGAAAATGACATGCAATCATTTAAAATAACAGTACAACTCTCCCAGGTTTTTTAATGTAAAAACTTACCTTATAGATGAAGAAAAAAATATTTTCCTTTGGATTTAACGCTGCCAAATAAATGTAGAGTAGGAAAATGTAACTGGTTTATTTGGTCTCATCTGCAAGAGTTGTCCTGACAACACAACTGAAGTCTCACTGAGAGCAGCATACCACAAAAATCTGATCTGTATCTGCTGACAGTAACTATAGTGACAAAATATCCTCTCTCTCTCTCTCTCTCTCTCTGTCTCTCTCTCTTGCTTCCTCCCTCCCTCTCTATAACTTATTCTGTTGCCACATGTGCCTGTCTCCCTCCCTCATATGTAACCATCCTTTTGCATAATTTTTCACACTTTGTTCTCATCTTTGAAACACTCTATGACAGTGATTGAACCTCCTCTCCCTCTGAAACAATGGCAATCGTTGTGTTTCTCAACGTTTTCGTGTAACAGAATTACAAACCTATATTTCTGTGTAGTGTGCCACCAACATGTGACTGTGCCCTGATCTGGAGGAGGAAGTTTGGCTTTGGTGGAAATTTTTTTTTTTTTTTTACAGCAGAAAAATGCAATTTTGCAAATGTTGATTACCCTTCAGAAGAGAAAATTCCCCTCTTTGACAATGGAAATGAAGACAGGGCAGATGAAGAACTCCCCCCTTTTCCCTAGAACACTTCTGTGTTGTTGTCTTTTTCTGCCATTTAGAAAATGAGTTTCACTTCTGACATTCTTGTTGTATTACTCCAAAACAAGATTAATACTGAGATTTTTTTTTTTCCTAGCACCTGTGGTTTCTTTACGCATTTGACAACGTGTTTCAGTATTAAAAGGTCTTCAGACTTTGTTTTAAAGAGGTGCAGAAGAAAGGTGCTTAGAAAATCACATTTGGTTTAAAGTAACAGATCACAGAGGAAACTGTGTCATGTGTGGTCGAGTTGGTTTTTACAAAGGAACAGAAAGTGGTTGAAACTGAAGTAAGATAAACATTTTGTGCAGTCAGACAAAAAGCTAAGTAAAAAAAAAAGGCATGGCACAGAAACTTTTCCAAAGAGAGATTATAAAGAAAATGTTGAATGTCTAGAAAGCTTAATGATGACTTTAAAACTTGGCTAAGGGATAGCTAAAAGCTACAGTAGCTCAAATACAAATGGAGGTGACACCAGAACGTTTAAACGAAGTTGTTTTTTTTTTCAAATACCGTAACCTTTTTTGTTCTTGGCAGATTGTAGCAATTCTTTCCACTTTTTTTCCATCCTTTGTGTACTTTAAGTAATGCATTTTCTAATTTTTACTTCCAACATGAAAATCAACCAATGAAAATCCAGAAACCTGTGAACCCTAACAGCAATATAGCTGGAGTTCTTGGCTGTACCGTACCATTAAATGTAACAGTTTTTCTAGATGTGTGAGGTGGCAACAAAGTGGTGGTTAGCCCGTTAGCAGAACCAAAATTCAAAACAAAGCAGCTGCCAATAGAAAGCCTTTCAGTTTGGTAGTGTGCTGTGGGACTTTTCAAATGTGAAATACGTGCCGTGGTTCAAAACAAGTTGGGCAACAGGTTGGGAGGAGCTAGAGGACTTCTAAAATTATTAAACTAAGGTCGAGTTCAAAATTGTGCAGTTATGTCAGATAAATCACACTATCTGCCTGCTTGTGGTTTTCACACTTTTAATGCACACCTAGATACACTGCTCTCCAGTGGAAAAAAAGACATTAAACACAACAAACTGTATTGCTTTTCTTCCCTGAGCCAACCCTTCCTGTGTAAGGCTTGTGCAAACGCTTGCAAACGCAAATTTATTTTGTGAGAAATTGTTACAAAACAGGAGGTGATTTTATTTATTGTTTAAAGCTAGAATCAGAAACAGCACATCTGTCAAAACCAGAGACAAAATAACCTGTGGCATGTAGAAGTAGCAGCTAAAGACAGGATGACTTAAGATGAAAATGAAAGATATAAACATTTTGTAGAAATAAAACAAGCAATGAAAAACTAGCAACATGAAGCAAAATGCTAGCCCAGCATATAGCAAAAATAACTCAAAACCAAAAAAGAAAGAGAACACACCTAAAATTAGTCAATACAAAGTGCCCAAACATTCACTTCACAATATTTCCAAAGTAGCTAAATGTTAGCCAAAACACACATGCCCCCAGAGTATGTTTCTAACACCATCATTAATAATGGTCATTTTGAGAAATAATTGAAACAAGAAAGACATGGAGGTATAAACCAGTCCATGACCAGCCTGTGGGTCTAACTGGTCTAAAGAGATTTGAACGGCACTAAATGATGTGTCAGTCGTCATAGTCTGGCTTTTCACTGAACCCAGACCACGTTATGTGTTTTCTTTTGTTCCAACAGGCAGAGGAAACAGTGTAACTTCCTCGTAGCCTGGCCTTGTGCCTCTGACTCATTGGCTTGGCAGACGTCCAGTCCACAGCAGCACAGCCGTCACTGGCACACAACACACACTGCGTCCACGGAGGATATTTATAGAACACAATGGATGTGAAAGACCAAAGGGACAGACGCAGATAATGTCTTTACACTCTGTGGTTCTGTTCTGTAGGTCCCCGGGGCCAAACATGTGGCCCGCTGTTTCCACCTCTGAACGGGTGTTTTATGGTTTGCCATCAGGGAAGGAGGTTCTTTGGAAAGCAGCAGTATTTTGGCTTCAACTTATTGCAAAAACACATTTAGGATCAAATTAATCAAATGTTAGAATTAACTATTCATTAACTATCCCTGGGAAAAATCTTAGCTAGCTTCTTGGCTAACCTGCAGCCATTTTTGCTACCTTTATAGATTTCTATGTTCATTTTTTGCTATTTTCTTGGCTTTTATGTTGTGATTTTTTGTTTGTTTGTTTGTTTGTTTGGTTTTTTGTTTGTTTGTTTTAGGGTTTAATGTGTTTTTGGGAAATACACAGCAATGATGTAAATGTTTCAATATCTTAAATTAGTCCCAGTCTCACTTCAGGCTATCTCGACTTCTATTTGATTTTGTTTTATTATTTTATTATTATAATATATATAATTATATGTTTGCGTTTTCCTTAGTCTGTTTCACATCCCAGACATTTTTACTGTAGTTGTTCTTAGTTGCAGATTTTTCTCAGTATTTATTTTCAGTTTTTATTATGGTAACATTTAGCTTCTGTAAGTGGCTGGCTCTTGTCCTTTGATATTGTTGAAATGATAATATATATGTTGAAATAATAACAAATACATAATATGATGTTTGAATTTTTTGTTAAGAAAAGTGGTTCAGTACGTGAAGCTCATTTTTTGAAGTCACTCAAAGTACAGTTTAGTCTGTTTCACAGGAAGTTCAGGGAGAAGTTTGTTTTTTGCTATTTGCGTTGTTTGGTAATTCAGATACCTTGACGCTTATGGCCCCTGATGTCAGTATTTACAGATTGTTCTTTATGATCACTTAAAACTCTGTTTTACATGGACTTTATGGTTGATGGTTTGAATTCCACACGCCAAGCTGAAAGAATACAGTTCTGTCTGGCTGAAAATATGTGTAGGCAGTACAGGACTGGAGTAAAGAAATGTTACAGCTGAGATTACCTCACAGGAAATCTGTTGCTTAGGTGTTAAGAAAAACAATATTGTAACTCATCATCATCATCACAGGTGCCTAATGTTTACAGGCCACTGCACTTGTTTCTGTCACGCAAGAAACATACAGGAAAACGAATCACATTTCCAGGTACTCATGTTGTTTTAAACACTCTGTCTGCCAACAGTAGGCCAGCGGTCACCAACTACATTTGTTGGAGGGTCCGATTTTTTCTGGACAAACACCTTGTGAGAAAGACACTCAAAAAAGACATAAAAAACACATTTTTGTCTGACAGTATTTTTTATTGTTTATTTTGAAATCCAGTCACGGGGCAGATGTGCCCCAAGAGGTCACCAGGTCAGGAGTTTGAGACCACTGAGCTAAAGCATAGCCAAAACATAGTACAAATTAGTTATTAGTTACAACTTATTGCTGAAACATGGCCAACAGATTTCTTAAGGCCAAGAAGAACACACAGGAGTCCTGTAAGTTATTCAAATATTACAACTCTGTTGTTTGAATTAAAATACCCATTCTAAAAATAAAAGTTATTAATAACTATCTTAAACAGTAACGTACTATAATAGCTATTCGAGTCAGGTACAGTACGTCACTTCTTAAGTAATCGCCCACTGTTTTGTGCCAGGCTTCCTGCTCAAGATAAACAGCAGAGGAACTTGAAAAGCAACATGGATGTGGGCGCTGTGTTCGTGGGTTAGTTATAATTTATGATCATATTAAATACAAAATAATGAATTCATTACCCGCTTTCATCAGCGCCTTGCACACGTAGTCCATGTGTAGCAAAGGAAGAGTGGCTGCCATGTGTCAGAGGTGCCAATGTTGGCTGCGTTCTTTGATCAACTGTTCTCTCTTGTGTTCAAAGTTGAGTATTGCAGCTATAGGGTTTGAACAAAACGGTCTGGTTTTTGTTTTCTTTTACATGAAAAGTATATTATAGCAGGGCACATGCTGTCTTAATTTTACTGAGCCACATGGTGGCAGCACTGTCGTTGTTTTTGGTTGTGAATCATTCTTTTTCTTTCTTTCTTTTAAGTCAGTAGAGACATAAAAATCATTAAAGATCATTTCAGCTGCATTAAAAAAAATACAGCTGAAATGATTAGGCAAATGGACAGAAATTATTTTGTTATTTTTTATAGACCTACTAAAATCTAAGAGTGAAACAAAATTGACATGTTTCCATGGTGTTGTGTTTAGACACTGTACAGATGCTGTGGCTTCAGTGACATTTGCATCACTGTTTCTAACACAGCTCCAGACCAGGACCTTCTACAAGCTGAGCTGAATAACTGTCAGTAATGCAATTCACATCCAGCATTCTGATAGTGATGAGTTGAGTATAGTTCAACTGATGAGTTTTGTTGTATTGTTGAATTTAGCAGCAACAATATTGTCTGGACCATTTCTAATAGACCAGACAACAGTTATTGGATCCTGAACCAGGTCATTACTGGAGGTTTTTGAAGAAAACATTTTAAAACACACTTTAGATTTTTTTTTAGGTGTTTTCTGTATCTTCTACTCTGGTAAATTGCAAGTATATCCTGTAGAAAATGTCTGTGTGTGTTTTCACAATCTGTCATGTTTTTTCAAGGCCACATGCAAAACCAAAAAACTCAGGAAGTGTTTAAGGTTAAATATAAGACACCACGCAGCTGTTCAAGTGTGTGAAAACACACATTCACTCAGAGAGAGAGAGAAAGAGAGAAAGGACAATTTGTGGGGCCTTTGTAGGGAGCAGGAAAGGTGGGTGAGGAAGTGGTGCTGGTATTTATGTCTCCACACCCACATCCCCCCCCCACACATACAGTCAGATGTGGTAGAGAGCTGCTGGCATCTTTGACATATGTATGTATTTTATTGGCACACACACACATTGTGAAACATACACACACACTCTTATTGTACACACATACTGGAGAAGCTGCTGTTGTTAAATTCCAATTACTACTTCTAGTTAAAGAAGGCATTTACAAAGCCAGGCCCCTGGTGGCCAATCCTGGAATATTTCTCATTTCTGGTCTACAACAAGATTGTTTTTGATGATTAAGATTTATTTTTGTTTTCTCATTTCTGGTCTACAACAAGATTTATTTTTGCTTCTCTTTTTTCAGTTTAAGTTATTTTGGCTCACATTTGACTTTTTGTTCTAACCATAAGATACTTTTGTCAGTATATACAGATGAATCTTTTGATTCCTGTAACGTTTTACCATGCTATCTGTCTGAATGTTTCTAGTTTTCAAATAGGTTATATTCTCCTAATTCTTTGTAACAATCATATACTGTATATTTGCACAATGAAATAAATCACTATGTAAGACCAGCTGGGGAAAAGAAATCACCATCAAGATTGACACATTTCTCAAATCAGCATCCTTGTTTATTTCTCACTCATTTTCAGGGACAGATGTTAAAAATAGACACGTGTGAGCCCAAAATAACCCTAAACTAGGTCTTCACCCTGACGCCGTGTGCTGCGGCTGCACTCATGTGTTGCTGCTGCTGTTCTCTGTTGTCATCTTGGAGGAGGTGTACAGATAGTCCTTAAAGATCCTCATCACACGCTTCTTGTAGGTCTTTATGGCAAAGAAGTAGATGACAGGATCCAAGCAGCAGTTGAAATTCATGAGAGCGACCGTTATCTGCAGGAAAGAGAAAGGTTTCAATTTACAAAAAAAGCTGTTAAAAATAAGGTGTGAAACCAGTTTCAACTTTCTACCTGTAAAGACGTCTTGAAAGCTCTCAGTTCCTCACAGCCAGGCTGTTGATATAACTTCCTGGACATGAACTGTATTATGTTGATGTGAAAGGGGCTGAAACATGTGATGAAGGTGAGGAGGATGAGGAGAATGATGGTGTTGGCCCGGTGGTTCCTCTTGGAGCGGCCTGTCAAAGAGTTCTGCTTGGCGTCAGCTCTTAGCTTCAGGTTGATTTTGGTGTAGCAGCCCACGATGATGAGGAGTGGGGAGCAGAAGGAGACGGTGCAGGCCAGGAGCAGGAGGTATGGGGTTAACGGAGAGCCATCAAAGTTGAAGTATTCCATGCAGGTGCGTCTCTCCTGGTTCTTCTGCAGCAAGTTACGAAACAGCAGGGGGACGATCTGCAGTGAAACCAGAGTCCAGATCAGGCAGCAGACCCTTCGGACCACCCTTGTGCTGCGTAAACACTGGAGCTGGTGGGGATGAACCATGGCCAGGTACCGATCAAGGCTGATGCAGGTCATGAAAGCAATACCTGTTGGACATCAAATCCTATTTTATACTGTAACTATATATGCAGTATATATATTGGTTTGTGATGGTATGTATATGTAAGTGAGCCATGGTTCAGAACAAAGTCCAACTTCACCCACAAACAACGGGTCTCAATGGCTGCTCGCTAATGTCACTCAGTCGATTCCAGTAATTCTATGTTAAAGAGCAGTTAGCACAGACAAGCCTCATGTGATGTAACCCTCTAATTCCTTTTACTTTTCTTTTATATATATATATATATATTTCTTAGTCACATTTTTTTAGTGACTCCCCATATTTCTGTCATTGAAGACGACGTCCACAGATAGGACCTCTGTATGAGCCGCATGTTGTTGTTGTGGGGAACATAATAATAGAAGGACACTGAACCAAAGCATGGCTGCTGTCGTCGTCTCTGCGTATGATTCTATATATTATTCTGCAGTGCACAAACTTAACAAGACACCGTAAATGTATCGAACCGTGACGTCAATTTCGAGGTATGTACCGACTTACTTATATAATGAATTTAACCGGTAATTAATTTTCACGTATGTTGTCTATATTTCTTTCCTTTGGTATTACTCTTGATGTAGATCTTGGAATTTAAGTCCAGTAGGTGGCAGTGTTACCTCTATAATGATGCTTTTGGAATTAAATAATAATAATAATAAACGCTTACAGTAGGAAATCCACACTTAAACATTTAACCTTTAAATGAAAGCATAATTTGTGTGTAGCTTAACACTGTTAGCGTTATTCAGGACAACAATGTAGTTTTAGTAGACTCAAACATGTTTTATGTACAAATAGACGACCTAATGCCAGTTCTTACTATATATATATATATACATATACATATATATGTGTGTATATATATATATATATATATATATATACACATATATATATATATATATATATATATACACATATATATATATATATATATATATATACACATATATATATATATATATATATATATATACACATATATATATATATATATATATATATACACATATATATATATATATATATATATATATATACACATATATATATATATATATATATATATATGTATTTGTGTTTTGTTTACAATTTTACTGTTATTCATAATATCTAAAAACAGAAACTTTATTGTTTAAGCCATTTCATTGATATCCCGAGGGTTAAGTATTTTAACCTGATTTGTTGCATGGAAGTTTCCATAAACTCACTTTAAAGATATATATTTACACATTACACGTGTAGTCAAAGATATTACCTGCATATGTGTTTACAAAGAACAGCAGCGTGGTCAGTCTGCACAAAAAGTCACCAAAGGGCCAGTCGAAGTGACGGATGTAGTAGGTGATTCTGCTCGGCAGCGACAGTGTGAACAGGGTGTCAGAAAGCGCCAGGTTGACCAGATAGATGGAGGTGGAGTTGAACTTGTGCTTCCTCTGGCACATCACATAGAGAACCAGGCTGTTTCCACACACGCTGATGACAAAAACCACCGAGTAGAAAGTGGGGAAAAGGACGGCAGCCGACCTCTGGTAGACAAACACATCACAGCTGCTCTGGTTGAGAGGGTTTTCAGCCGAGCTGATGGTGATGCTGATGTTGTCAGCAGCCATCCCACCTGTCAGAGTTTGGAAAGACCACACATGTCAGTCAGTGCAGTGAAAACTAAGCAGTAAAGATTGGTCAAAGAGACAGACGTTAGCTGAGCCTTAGTGTTCATACTTGCAGTAAGAGATGAAGTTGAAGTTGAAGATGAAGATGAGCGTCAGTGCAGTTGAAACTTCTGTTTGTAGCAGATGAGCATCATCAGTGAAAAAGTGAAGTGTTTAAATCCCACCTCTCTTTGTTGACATCATGTTTTGTCCTCTCACCTAACTGGTGCACTGAGCCTGTGTAGGCAGTGGCACACTTTGGGGATCTTCAAATGTGTCAAACTTGGGATTCATCAAGAAAGGCATAATATGTTGAACATATCACAAAGTGAAGAAGTATTTTCTTCCCACTAGTATTTGTACAGTATGTGTGTTCCAGTATTGGCTTCAAGGTGGAATCATTGTCTTTGTCTGTTTAAAGTGTCCCCCGTGTGACATGCCTGTGGTTAAAGGCCAGTGTGTGTTCCCACCAGTTTGTCGACTGTGAATCTATACCCACTTGTGTACATTGTATTGTATATTCAGCATGTCTTCAAATAATATTGAAACAGAAAATGTCAGACAAATGAACTGAAAGTTTTGAAAAATCGATTTAAACTAAGAAAGAACTAAAGAATGGTAAGGAATAAAAAATTTCAGTTTTATAAGCACTTTATATTATTTGTTTTTGTCTGTGCTGTGGTCCTAAAGTCATCTCAAATGCTGGAGTTCATCTTGTTGTTGTTACTTACTTGTTGTGTAGTGTACCTAATTTATTGGCTGTGGTGTACTGTTGCCATCTTTTTCAGGTTAAAGCTAAATAAACCCTATTATTTTAGTATCAGCATCAACACATTTATATGAGACACAGTTGTTGCTTTCAATGTCTAATTGCTGCCAATATAAATGTCAACCTTGTAATGTGTCCCTCGTGTGTTTGTGTTAAATAGTGAGGTTTTCTCTAAGGTTCCTGCCTCTGAGGTTTCTCAATTCTGCACTTTGGTACTTTGGCAGTGAAAGCCGACAGACGTGCAGTCAGTCCTGAGGTGAAACTGATGGAAGATATGCTGCAGGAGGAAGTTGTCACACTGCTCTGATATGTGGATAAATTACCAGCACTTGTAAGAATATCAGAGCGATGTAGCGTCTGCATGTCAACCATCAAAAAGCTCCACCAAACTGGAGTGAAGAAATACAACAGCGTTAGGATTCTGAGAAAAGTCACGGTGGTTTAAATGTGGCAATATCACCACGCTTTGAGCAGAGGAGAGAGAGTTCTGCAGCAGAACTTCAGCAAATGAAACAGACTCGGTTTGATGTGCATTCGTAAGGCTGCATCTGCAGCAGCCTGAAACCTTTAATACAAATAATGAAGAAAGTCTGAAGAACAGAAACATTGGATTAAATGTTAGGTTTATATACAGTACTGTAGGCCTAGCTGTTTCCTCCTGTTCACATGTAAAAGAAATGAGATGATATAACTATAATCAAATTGAAATTAACATGCTGTTATATATATATATATATACACACACACACACATATTGCTACATATTGATGTTGATAATATGGGAGAAGATAAAGAGTCTCATTTCCTGTGTCCCTCTTTTGGTAAACTAAGTCTGGTGCTGATGGTGCTCCTGTGTGTGACCAGCCCCTCACGGAGAGGATGTGAGTCACTGACCTGAGCTTTGGCACCAACGTCACAGTCTAATTCAAGCCCCACAACGTCACTGGCCTTCTAGATAAATTTATTGGGTATTTTCACATGTTCCACCATTAGACTGCTGCAACAGCATGCAACAGCATACAGGATGGCACTAGCTACCAGGTATCATGACATCCTCAGACATGTCTGATAGGTGGTGCAGGTCTTCAGCCCTCTCAGGAAATAGAGGCAATGTTTTCATGTCCGTTGGAGCTTAGAGTATCTGCCTATACCGATATCAATCCGACATTTCACGCAAAGTGGAATTGAGCATTTGGGCTTGTGTATTAGATTGGCTATAGATGTGTTAGATCCTGAAATTCTGACCAAAGTCGGTTATATTATCGATATCGATTTTCATTATCAGATCAAGCCATCCCTAGTATTTTTTCTTATTATTAAAGAAAATGCCTCACTTTTGTTTGTTGTTCTGGCTAAAGTTTCCTTATAAATTCTTGTAAAAGTAGTGACTCCGCCCCAGTGTCTCTTCTGGATTGTCCAGCAAAACCGTGAAGGTCAGTGTAATGGAAATAGAAGGCTGTTGGAACTGCTAAAGGTCATTAATTGTCACCAGTCAAATGTGGTTACAGTACAGCCCACTTAGGTCACCACCAGGCCGTAGCTCACACAGTGTGACCTGCAGCTTTGGAGCTTACTGAACTTCAGTGCTACACTTCATGCTCCATCAAGTTTCTGCACGTAATAAAGCTTCTCATATCTGGAAGAGTGTGTGTTGAAGGAAAAGACAGTGGTTTAGTTAGAACTCACTGGGTGTCTGGGGGGGGGGGCTCTATGAGTTGGACAAGACATGGAAAGATGGCGATGGTCCCATAGACTCAGGCCTGATGTTCCCCAGTATAAACTGCAAAAGTCACCCCAAAGCTGTAAAATATTCGTTACTAATAAATATGTGTAGGGGCACTGTATTTGGCCAGATATGAAAGCTCTGGGGAAATTGAAAGTGACGACACAGCATGGTACATGTATGAAAGTCACTTCTCAGAAATGTGACCTTTTTCTGGCGGTTGAGTCAGGGTGGGTTAAATAAACAAGGGGGAGACCCAACTGATTCAAACAGAAGGATACAATCTTCAATGGTGCAAGTGCAGCCCATAAAAAGCACCCCAGAAGGCATATCACAGTAAATGCACCATCATCGCCGCTGATGTGCGGGTGAGATAAAGTAAGAACGACTCCCAGCGTACACGACGTGGAGCGGAACAGCAGGCTTCCATAAATAGTGGCAGACCGAATTTGAGATCTTTTGGTAGATGTGCAGCCAAAATGAGTTTTGTCTTAGATTTCCCCCAAACACGGTCCCAGTAAAAACATGTCTGTTTAATCACAGCAGCTGCAGTGAGCTGCCATGGATCCTAATGGAGTCTTTGAGTGTATCTACTGTAGATACAGTAACTAGTACAGAAACTGTAAGAATAAAAACAATAATTCTCATGTCTGAAGGAATAATACACTACAGCTAAATAGTCATTGTATCCATCAAATGTTGGTTCTTTTTAAATGAACTATTAGAGAAAAAAGTGTTGGTGTACTGTACCATCAGTGTTGGGGAGTTTGGAGAATCTGGAGGAGTAGCAGCCGAAATGTTGTCTCGGTGTGTTGACACTTCACTAGAGTTGATATCTGCATCACAGTACAAAACATATTAAGTTAAATTAAATTATAGTCTTTATTGTGACTGTAACACGGGGATACAACGAAATTGAGCCTCTGCTTTTAACCCATCACCAAGGTGAGCAGTGGGCAGCTTAGAGGGCCCGGGGAAGACCACCGGGGATTTTTGTTTCCTTACAAATAAAGTCTGGTATAGTCCATGTAACATATGTGTATGTATGCATGCATGAATGTATGAGGGAAAAATAATAAGCTAGTTTGCTTTTAGTATAAGTAGATCTTATTTTACTTTACTTAATTATTTTTTGCAAGGTAAGAATAAAAAAATCCTATTATTTTATTTATTAGTTTTAAAATAAATAATAATAATAAAATAAATAAACTGCGTGGTTAAGCATACATGTGCACTATCCTGTATACAGGCATACGCACTGCTACAACATTTGGCGCCACTAGAGGGCAGTCAATAATTAGAAATCCATCCATCCATCCTCTTCATTAAAAATACAAATATTGAGAATTAAAATAAGGGAATGTATATTTTAAATATTTAATTGAATTTAGTTTCGACTATAATAATAATAATTGTTAAAGTAGTGAATTATTCATAACTGCATTTTTGTTTGTTTGTGTGTGTGTGTGAGTGTGTCTGCTGCTGGACACACCATGGTAAGGGGCAGGGGGTCTCCTACATTGTCAGGGGGCCTCATGTGGCTCGTGTCTGTTCTCATCATCACCACCACCTCCCCTCCTCACACACCAGCACGCTCGCGTGAAGACTCTCCGTTCACACTTTGCTTCACATGTGTCACCTTTATTAGGGATGAGCAGCTCCATTAAAATCCCCTGAGCCAGAGGACACGAACATGTTTGCACTGAAACTGAGTGAGTGTGGAGAGACAGAGGAGACGTGTCCAAATGGAGTCTCTTGTCTTCCATTCACCTGGTTGTGGTGGAGAAGGACCATCAATGGCCCATACTTTAAAAAATCAAATCAAATCCCTAAAGTCATCATGGAACTAACACCCACACCCTGAAGGGAAACCCTTATGTTAACAGAATTAGGAATTAATATATATTTGGTTTTGTGTTTTTGGCATCTAATACCAACAGAACTAGTTAGCACGGATTGTACACTAGCTTTTATAGAAACAGATTTGAAAGTAAACCAAAAACAGAGGAAACTCAAACTAGTAAGAACTAACTAACTAAAATCTAACTGAACTATAATAAACTAATTAACTATACAGTATATAAAACTAACGATCTAACTAAAAAAAGAGGTTGAAACTACCCAATGACAGCAAAGCTAGTCTAAAACAGATGTATGTTTGCTGAAAACTTGAAGAAAGTTGGAAATAGTTACAATAATTAAGAATATGAAAATATATGCAAACAACATCATTTGTCTCCAAGCAACAGAAATAGTTGAAAACTATGAACAGAACCAAAATTTTACAGTTAACCAGGTTTACAAATCTTACAGAAACAACAAACATAACAAACATCGGATCAACCAAACTGTGAACTGAGTCTCTGGACCGAGGATTATTTTCAGTGTGAGATCAGAATCTTTCCTGGAGCAGGACTATTTTGCAGTTACAGGTTCTGAAAGTTCTCCACATGAGGTTTCACGACACTGTCCTTTCCATGACAGGTGTGCCAGCATGTGCACTTTTTCCTGCTATGAAAATTCTCCAGCACTGCAGATGTGACATTACAGTAGACGTTATTTTCTTCCCTTCTTTTATTCAGAGTCTGTAAACGAAGCCCAAACTTGTGCAAAGCTGTTGCTGTTCTTTCCTGCTCTCAGTATGTACAGAACAAAACTCAGGAACATAAGGTCAAACAATAGAACAACTGCTGTTGTGTGTGTGTTCTCTGTTCCTTTTCATTGATGTTCCCTAAAATATACATCCTCCACATCAACAAAGCCTGTGGTCATCAGTGGCCCGTGACTCAGGCCTGGTCCTGAAAACGGGTTCCTGGTTCCTGCGGTCCGAGTCCTGGCAGGTTCGCCGGTCATCTGAGGTGAAGTGCATGTTTTTAAAAATTGTCACTGCTTTTGCGTTATTGTTTTTCACAGATCGAGGACTAATTAATTCAGCAGCTCACCTCTTCATTGTGGAGCAGCAGACTGACAGTTGTCGTCATCGCAGTGATCGGTCTGTTCCTCAGACTATTTGATGTATATTAACAATAATTGGTGCTGCCGCCACACTGATGTTTAGTAAACCATTGAGCTATTTTCCAGGAGGGTGACCGCGAGGAATTTCAGTGTAGCTGCTCAGAGTCAGGACAGATGGGGAACACTGGCTGTCCTCTGTGGACCACAGATGTCCAAACCTCATCATCATTATCACTTAGAGGACATTTCATTTCATTCCTCAGCCAAGTCCTGTTGTCTCTTCCATTTAATCTTAAACACTCAAATACATTCACTGAAACATCAAAACAGTAAGTAAATAAAAAAAAGTATTTCTGTGATTTGTTATGGGTGGGAACTCTATGACTGTCCAAGATTAGAGAGAAAATATTGTAAGAATTTCATATTTTATATATGTCATATTTTATGCCAAAAAGGCTACATTTATATTAATTTAATCTAAAGCCATTAGCAGTAATAAACCAAACAAATTAACATTGGCTTTGACTATAATAACAGAAGGTTTGTTAGAAATAGCTAAGTTTAACTAAAATATGATGTTAATGCAGCTTAAGAATTGTAATCAGTACAATTTTTAAAAAGTTAGCACCGAATGATGAATAAACAACAAATAAATACAAAATAGATAGATAGATAAAGCCAAATAATTGTTCCTGGAGGAGTCTAATATAAATTAGAGTTAACCAAAGGTGCTAGTCATGCTAGAAGCTAACAGCAAATTGGTATAATTAGATGGCTTAAATTTGTTAAGATAGGTCAGGATGCTAGAATGTACCTAGACGTTCTTCGAATACCAAAAAGCTACACAATTCCTAGAACTAAATGTGAACTTAAACTTAATTGAAATATGTATTTCTTTTTTTTAATAACAGAAAACCAAGCAGCAGAAGACACAAGTCTCCGACGTGATCCTGTTATTCTGCACTAATTCAAACCTCTGTCTACATGATCACTTCAACTACACTCACATTCTTTCCACTGAAAGTGAAATTAGTGTCTAGACTTTTTTTGTGATTTTTTTTTGTTTCTCTCTTGTTCCTGAAGAAGTTCTCACTTCCCCTGATCTGCCAACTGGGGCTGATGTTGTGACGGCGACGGCGTCTCCAGTTCCAGCATCTCACAGTGACTCCAGCAGGTTCTGACTCTGCCAGACTCTACAAGTGAATGAGAGGCAGATGTATGGTGACAGCCCAACACTCATTAGGCTGAATCAGTGTCACACCGTGACAAGTGGCCGACTTGAGGCTTCTCGTATCACTCACTCCTTCATTCAACCAGGGCCAGCTCCGACTCACTTGGACCTCCTGTAAAACCACTAATTATTCTCCTTGTTCTGTGTCTTCTGCTGAAGACAGGTCCTTTCATGTTGGGACACATTTCTTTGAAAAACATTGTTCACACATCCAAGTGTGATTTTCTGTCTTTGACCTAAAGTCTCCTCAGATCTAACGATAATCCTGGTGTTCTCTATTCTGACCATCCTCAGCTGCACGGTCAGCTTTGACCCCTCTGGGCACCCGTCCCTGGGCTGAAGTTGTTATATCTATTTCAGTCCACCAGAGACCAGACGGCCATCATGGTGGCTCCAGAGAATTCCCTGTCCAGCGATTTAAGGATGGCCATGCTTCGGTCATATGCTGTAGCCTCTCCTGTGTCCAAACGGTTTAGCGTCTGATGACTCGCTCTGAGCCACTAAAGGCCGGTTTTTTAACAATTATAGATGTGTGGCTGCCAGACATGCAAACAGATGTGCTTTGATCTATTTACGGTAGGATGGACGGGGAGGGAGGAGGTGTAACGGCTTACGACCATGCGTGGGTCAGATCAGGCACCTCTGTCATCCCTGTCTCTCAGTTCATTTGACGTGCACTTGTTTTTTTGTTTTTTTTTTAGCTCAGAACTTTGGTGATGAATGGCCTTAATGTGAAACTGTGTTAGCAGCTGTGACGTACGTGCATGGATGGATGTCTGTGGTGTTCAGACTGTTTCAAAGTCCAGTTTTATAAGGTCAAATACCTTCGAGCCGAGGCTCTTCCTGTGATCTTTTACACTTTGGGTGAAAATCAGACGTGTTTCCAAAATACTTCAACTGTCTTAAAGAAGTTCAAGAAAGAAGTTCTTTCTAGAAGTAAGCAAAAGTCATAACTAAGGCAAAAAGACTCTATGTCAGACATGGGTAAACTACGGCATGTGGGCCAGATACGGCCCACTGAGTTTTCTAATCTGGTCCACCAAACTGACAGCTACAAACGGATACAATGAACAGCAAAAAAACAATCTACTACTACTTTCTACTACTTTAAAACAAAAAAACAAATCTTAAAAAGTTGAGGGCCATGGAAGATCCATCTTTGGGCTGCAATTGACCCACAGGCCTTAACTTGAACACCCTTGGTGTAAATCTCAGGACACACATTACATTACGTGTGTGTGAAAAAACCACTCTGTATGTGTTTGTGCCCTAAATATTCATGCGAGAGCCACGGGCAGGCGTGTGTGGAGGTGAGAGCTTGTTGAATGGAAATATGGACAATCCTTTTACACCAAATAAAACAGGAGTGAACCACTGCTGGCCCCATCTGTTTGAGCACCAACATTCACCACAGGGCAAAATAGTTAGTGCTGGTGTACGGTACATTTTTTATCACCTTGTCTCCTTCCCTCCCTTCCTCAGCCTGAAGTGCTTGGAGTGGTGAAAAATGGAAAACAAATGTTGTGGTGACAGCTTTCTTATGCCCTGGGTGTGTGTGTGTGTGTGTGTGTGTGTGTGTGTGTCATAAAGGTGCTAACACATTCTGGATTTATAGGCTGACCGTCACTGGGGGCAGAAATACTGGTTATTCTTTAGTGGCTACATTTAGTCATGAATAATTGTGAAATAAGACTTGTTAAATTAGCCTCCAAGTCTGTATCATGGGTTAGGAAATTCATATTTCCTGCAGAAGAGTGAATCCATAATCAAAGTGGGGCATTTACAAGTGAAATCCGCTCGTCTCCTGTTGTGCCTCCTGGTGCGACAAGGGCTCACTTTGTACCTAGAGCACATTAAGGCAGAGGTCAAAGCTGGATACGCTGCTGCTCCTCGTGCTAATTAAAGGCTCAGGCAACAGGACGCTCAAAGTTTTAAACAGCAAATGCCTCAGTAATATTCAGTTCCCGCCGCTGGTTTCCCCCTGCCTTGTCACTTGTCTTATTGACACCACTTTGTGTGTATTAAACATTCACGGGTCACTTGTATGGCATTTTAGTCTGTGCCCTCCCGTGTACTCCCCGCCAGCGCTAACTAGTCAATTGTGGTCGTTGTTCTCAGCGGTTGAGCGCCGTTTTCATCATGTCTACAGTGTCAGCAGAGAGTCAGGAGAGGGACGTGGGAATAACTGTACCCCAAATATGAGTGATAGTTGAAGTCACATGAGATGTGGAACACAGCTGACATGGAAAGTTAACACCGCCTCATTATAATGACATTTTTAATGTGAGACAGTAGCAATAAAATATTAAGTTTTAGAAATCGTATCCCTCTATTATGAGACATGACTAACCATAACATTGGTATCAATAACTGAATAATTATTTTATCCATGACATAAACTAGTTGCAACAAGTTGCATTGGAAAAAAAGTTTTGTTGGTCTGCAATGTTGATTTTACTACGAGCTACCTCTTAGACTTATGATAAAGTACTGCAGTATTTTTCTTGATTCATATTATGATGCATGATTCAATTATTGGCAAAAAAATCAGGTGACAAATATTGAAATTGTTTGGGGGATTGGTATTTTAGAGCGATGGATGGAGAATTATTTCAGAGTTGGGGAATATTTTTTTACTTTTGCTACAGTGGGGAAAATATAGTAACTGGTTATAGTAACTTTTCCTTTTTTTGGTAAGAATATCAACAATAAAACTCAGCATTTGAATAGATGTGTTTAAACTATCCGTTTCTACTGTACAACATATGGAAAACAGGTCCTTGTTAGAGTCAGTCAAAAAACCAGGACAGTAAATTCTGAGAGCCCTTCGCTGCTGTAATGCTGTGTCCTATACATCGCCTGCAGCAAGCTATGAGAACAGTGTCGGCATCACCATCACAGTGGTTCATTCCGCAGAGCTCACAGAGGGAGTTCCACGCTGACACTGTGCTGTAAAGCTGCTGTGTCCTGAGGTGAACCATGTGTACACAGCTTTAGGTCCTCTCTGATGTATGGAAGTGTTTCTGTGTCTGCCAGTGAGGCCGGCGATCCCACTGAGTCTGCACCACGTCAGCATGCAACAGTCATTCATAAAAACTCACTGCCAGGAAACCTCACACACTGGATTGGATCAGTCCACTTGTTCAAGTATACAAGGGATGCCTTCGCTGTTCTAGGAAAAAGTTGTATGAAGGAAACCCTGTACCAAGTAAATCCATTTGTTTGTGTCCAACCCGATGGGTTGCATGTCACAACATGAGGCCTTTGAGGATGTGTGTGTGTGTGACCAACCGTCCATCCATCCAACCGTCCATCCATCCAACCATCCATCCAACCATCCATCTATCCATCCATCCATCCATCCAACTGTCCATCTATCCATCCATCCATCATCTACCACATAATCCTATCCAGGATAACAAGGGGAGCTGGAGCCAATCCTTGAAGTCCATTTGGAGACAGTGAACCATTTACACTCACACCCATGCCTCTAGTCAACTTGCTGCATGAACAATTAACAATATCCTGTATGTTTCTGGACCATGGGCGTAAACCCACACACACACATGGTGAGTACATAAAAACTCCATACAGGAAGTAGTTCAACCAGTGATCCTCTTGTAAGACAATGACATTGACAACAAGTGTCTGAGCTAAGTGGCCGTGTAATCATGGTCTTAAAAACATCAGTCCATTGGCTGTGCTGCGTAACAGATGAGATGTTGCATTATGACTGGCAACAAGTAATTACCTTTTAAGTCACCTGCCAAAATACTTGTTCTTATTATTCGTCTGGTTTGCATTTAAGGGCTTCATTCATCAGTCAGTCTCATTCTAAACTTCCTTGCCTCCCATTTCCATCCAAACATGCACATGTTGAAGCCTCCAGAATGTAACAGATGCCCGGGATGTTCATTTCCTGACATCTGGCTGGAGCTGCTCATTAATTCAGTTAAATGAAGTGAGAGGAGGATTCAAAATGAATCGAAGAGAAAAAAAAACTCAAAAGCATTTACTGTGGTTTAGGTGTCAGGCCATGTCTGGAATTGTCTTTCTTTTTTATAATGTCCTGGTTTCTCCACATGTAAATGGACATTCATGTTATTCTTCCTTTTTGTTATTTACTTTTTCTCTGCCTCTTTCATGATTACTGGGTCAGTAACTGGGTGCTGGACCGCGTCAGGGAGCACATTTGGGTTTTGTCCACCAGCTTAAGGCTTTAAAGGTTAATGTCCCCTGACACTCTCAGCTCCATCATCCCCGGACGTACCATTCTAGTAATGCACAAGTCATCAGAACCCAGAATCACATTAGGGCTCTCATCTGGAAACCCAAACAGCCCTAACCAGACTGAATTCATTTGAAAAGATAAAAACAATAAACAAATATAATTGAACTGATCTACCTTATCCTTTAGCGGCCGTGGTCAACCTCCAGTGAGTCAACCATTGAGCTTAGCGAGGTTTTAAAAAGGTCATGACATTACTTTTAAATGCTGAATATATATATATATATATATATATATATATATATATAT